CCCCCCCCCCCCCCGGGCCGGGGCCCCCTGCGTGTCCCCCTCCCACCCATGGACATGGCCCCTGCGTGTCCCCGTCCCACCCATGGACAGGGCCCCTGTGTGTCCCCGTCCCACCCGCGGTCACCGCCCCTGCGTGTCCCCCTCCCACCCATGGACACGGGCCCTGCGTGTCCCCCTCCCACCCGTGGTCATGGGCCCTACGTGTCCCCCTCCCACCGCGGTCACGGCCCCTGCGGGGTCCCCGGGAGCCTGTAGTGACACTGCCAGGCCGTGCCATGCGGTGCCATGCAGCGCGGTGCCAGGCTGTGCTGTGCTGTGTGGTGCCATGCAGTGCCACGCATGGTTCTGTGCAGCGCCGTGCCCCGCTGTGCCGTGCCATGCCATGCAGTGCCGTGCCGTACTGCGCCGTGCAGTGCAGCGCTGCATGATTGCCTGCGGCGGGGTGCGGTGCAGCGCAGCCTGCAGCCATGCTATGCCATTCGGTGCAGTGCTGTGCCATGCCGCGCAGTGCTGCGCTGTGCCGCGCAGTGCCGCGCAGTGCAGGTGATTGCCTGCAGCGGGGTGCGGTGCGGTGTGGTGCAGTGCAGCTTGCAGCTGGGCAGTGCCACACAGCGCAGTGCACTTTAGTGCAGGGCGATGCGGTTTAATGCAGTGCCGCGCAGGCGCCATGTGCTGCAGTGCCGCAGCATGGCGCAGCACAGCGCGGAGCAATGCAGGACAGGGCAGCGTAGCCATGCGGTGCAGCGCAGTGCGGGACAGTGCAGTGTAGCCGTGCGGTGCGGTGCAGCGCAGTGTGGTGTAGCCATGGGGTGCAGCGTGGTGCGGTGCAGTGCGGTGTAGCCATGGGGTGCAGCGCGGTGCGGTGCAGTGTGGTGTAGCCGTGCGGTGCAGCAGTAGCATTGTGACTTGGCTCTCGCCGTGCTGCTGCTGTTTGCCCTCGGCCCAAGGACGCCCTTGTGGAAGGGCACCCTTTGCCCGCCCGCACCGGGGGCTCCCCTGGGCTCCAGCAGCACCCGTGGGCCCAGCAGCCCTCGGGCTGAGCCGCGGGCCAGCACCGGCTGTGCCGTCACCAGGGGGTCCCCGGGGACCCCGCGGGAGCCTGGCTGTGCCCGCAGAGGGGTCCCTGCTCGCCCCACAGCTCCTGCTCGCTGGGGCCGGGCAGGGGTCCCCCCTCCATCCCGGGCAGCGGGTGCCAGGGGTGATCATCCCCGTGCCCCCCCGCAGGTGCCGGCAGACCCCCAGGATGGCGGAGGCTCACCAGGCCGTGGCCTTCCAGTTCACCGTCACCCCCGAGGGGTTGGACTTCCACCTCAGCCGCGAGGCCGTCAAGCAGTTCTACCTCACCGGCATCTCCTCCTGGAAGAAGCGCTTGGTCCGCGCCAAGGTGGGCCGGCGGCGTGTGCCCTGTGCCGGCGCAGGGGCAGGTGCTGCCCCATCCTCCGAGGGTTTCGCCGCGGGCAGGGGCCAGGCAGCTGCCCGTGAGCAGGGGTGTGTCCCCACCGCCATCCCCTCTCCCCGGGCGCTGGGGATGGTGCCGGGGCCGGAGGCGGCACTGACCCTTCCCTCAGTGGGCGCCCGGCCAGCGCCGCGTGACCGGAACGGGGCCGCGGCAGGCAGCACGCGCACCGAGCTGGCGGGCTCCCATGGGACGTGGCCGTCCTGGCACTGCTGCAGGCACGCCACCTCCCAGGCCGCTCCGGTGCCCGTGCGCCGCGCTGGCCCGGGCAGCGCCGCGGGGGAAACCCCCTCCACC